TCGAGTTATCTTGCTAAACCACACACACACAAACACACACACACACACACAGACAAACGCTACTGAAAACATAACCTTCTTGGCGAAGGTAATAAAGCAGAAACTAAAAGCTGCCATTCGTTTCAAAATCGCAAAGTGGCGTGGCTACTTGGTTGACCTTTTACCCCATGTGTTTTAGCGATTGCGAAAATTTGTGTAGTTTGTGCGAGTAGATAAACCAGTTGGCGTATCAAAATGGGCAAATTGAACGTGACTATGTTGCGTTACTTGACAAAGGAGGATTTTAGAGTGCTCACAGCGGTAAGTAGGACAAGATGAGTTTACTTTAATCCCCCGATTATGGAAGCATAGTGGTGCGCTAGTGTGGGGAGGGGGGCATATACATGGTGGAACATGTACATGCATGGTTATTATCAGCGTTTACTAGCAGTATTAAAGCTTCCCTTATAAAAAATTACATCCAACTTTGCTTCAGTGCCCTTCTTTATTACTCTTTAAATAGCAACGTACAGTATTGTTTTTGATTTCTCTCTTTTCAACATTCTGACTACAATCAAAAACCTCCTTGCTTAGTTAGAACAAGGACATAATTTAGACACAGTATAATGTCCTTGGTTAGAATCACGTGCATGATAATTAAATCTCCTTGATTTTAAGAAATGTGTCATAATTGTTTTACTGATATCTTTGAAAGTTCCATCTCAGAGGTTAAGAAAGACACCTTTACTCTACTCGGTAACAATGTCAAGTAAGTAGCACGAGGTTTAAAAAAATTTTTAACCTCCTTGGTTCAACTTGACATATAAGAAATCGTTTATTACCTTGCAAGGGATAGTTTTCGAGCTGATCACCCTTTTCTAGCTCAATGATCTGACACCTGAGTGATAAAATATTGTACCATTGGTTTTCTAACACTAGTTAGAGTGACATTAACTTGTCCTCATGCAAGTTTTACTTGTTAAACTGTATTGTATACGTTGGACCCCTATATAGATATTCACTGAAGTCTTTAAAAAAAGGAAAAATACCTACCTACCGACCCTAATTTTTCAGGACTGAAACAGGAAACACAACATTTTTTTATAGGCCTGACTGTCACTTCTACTAGAAATACAGAGAAACTTGAACCTTCCATTCTACTTTCTTTTTATTATATTTCCATACTTGTGTCCCCACAGATAGAGATGGGGATGAAGAACCACGAGGTTGTGCCTGCCAGCCTCGTTGCCTCCATCGCCAAACTCAAACACGGCGGCTGCCACAAAGTCCTGAAGGAACTCTGCAAGAACAAACTCATCTGCTTTGACAGGGGAAAGACATGTGCGTGTGTACAGTTCTTGTATTGCTCTGAGTGGCATTGTGTGGTGTGATGGTTAGGGTAATTGGCCCAGGACCCAGAGTTACTGTGTTCAAATCCCCTGACATTGTGTCCTTAGAAAAGGCATCTAACACAATTTTGCTCACTTCACTTAGGTGGAAATAAATGAATACCTAGCTGTGGTAGCTACAATGTGCGGTATCATGCCAAGTGCCCCCACAGTGAACTATTCTAGACTAGTACTGGATTGTCCCATTCTGATATGTGGTGTATTGGCATGTTCCATCCCTGTACTAAGTAGTTTGTACAAATGTGTATCAGTACCCAGCATCCTGTAGTAACCCTTCCCACAATCCCCTGCAGGGGAGGGCTACCGTCTGATCTACAGCGGTTACGACTTCCTGGCGCTGAAGTCACTGACCTCGCGAGAGGTCGTGGCCTCGTTTGGGAACCAGATTGGGGTTGGCAAGGAGTCAGGTCAGGTGACTTACTGAATTTATAGTCCAGAGTGTTATAGCGTAGCATAATAATATATAATACACACTGATACAGGACTGCATTCTATATCCCAGATGAAAAGAAAATCAGTCATACAATATGTAGTTATGTAATAAGCAATGCTGGGTTTGGAAATGAATGGTAATTTGAATATATTGTTAAATGTATTATTAAACAGATTTTACACCAACAGTTTCACAAACCATCTTTTCATCAATCCTTGTTTTAACTTGCTTGTAAATGAAATCACTGTTACAGTATGTCTACACTTGTATGTCAACAGAGCAGTGTTGCTATTTTCTGTACAGATATCTACATTGTTGCTGATGAAGAAGGGGAGCAGCTGGTCATGAAACTGCACAGGTAAAGTTGTGTTTGGCGTTGTTGTCCTTCCATTAGGTCAGTATTACATTTTTTTCTCCTACAACAGGCCATCCAACTTCTGTAGTGGATGTGTTAATAATAAGAATTAATAGAACAAGGGATTCACAACAACTCTACATACATGTACTTCATGGAGTTGTAAAGTCTTTGGTCGCTCTTCCTCCAGACTCGGTCGTCAGTCCTTCCGTGCCATCAAGCACAAGCGTGACTACCACCGGCACCGGGCAAGCTGCTCCTGGCTCTACCTGTCCAGACTGGCTGCCATGAAGGAGTTTGCTTTCATGAAAGTAGGGGAATTTCTAACCTCCAGAGTACACAAGCATTTTGGAGTACACATTTTGGCCATGCGAATATGGGCAAGGGCAAATGTTGTAACTTGTATGCATCCATGTTTGAAATTGTTAGATGCTTTTTATACATGCTACCTACTTATATTCCTTCTTTGGAGTTAAGCTATGTTGTTAGAATTACAAATGTATGTGTGAGATTCAGATCATATCACATCACGTTTCTTTGTTACTGAAGTCATGATGCAATTCCCCCCCCCCCTCCTCCCCAGGCTCTGTATGACCATGGTTTCCCTGTGCCCAAACCTGTGGACTTCAACAGACATGTGGTGGTCATGGAACTGGTCAATGCCTACCCAATGTGAGTAGAACTTTTAGAATGCAAACTTAAGTAGAGGAGTTGAGTACTTACTTCCCTACTCTTGCAACCCCCTACCTCCGTATGTAATTGCTGCAGTTTTGTAATTTCACTAACAGTCCAGACTGCAGAGGAATATAGTGATATGATGACGAAGAATTTCTGCAAATGGCAGCTTTCCATGTTGAAAATCCAGCTGGCGTGCCAAAAGGGCCTTTAAGTTAAGATAATATGTTATTTAACCAGGCCTAACTTTGATTTACATTATACCATTCTGATTGACACTTAGTTGTGTATGTATTGTTAACTTGGGTTTTTCATTTATTGCATTTATCAGTTTCTCTTATTTTATTGTTTATGTTACTCTGTTTATGTCATTCTGTACAGGGCTCACCTATAAAGCAGCATGGCAAGTACTGAGCATGCCTACCCTTTACAAAGATAACTGAAAAATAAATAACCAAATTTGTTACCCCACCCAGGTGCCAGGTCCATGACGTAAGCGACCCTCCTGCTGTGTATAACGAGTGTATGGAGCTGATCGTGAGGTTTGCGAAGCACGGTCTGATCCACGGAGACTTCAACGAGTTTAACCTGATGCTGGACGACAAGGACAGGGTGACAGTGATCGACTTCCCTCAGATGGTCTCCATCTCTCATCCTAATGCTGAATGGTCAGGAATTATCATGGCTATTGTAGAGTACTTGAAGTACAAAATGTACTTGCAATTTATGTAAATTATGTTTTTGTAAAATAAATCATTGTGCATGTACCATCAGTATTTTAAAGCTTAGTTCCACCTTTTCCCACCTACAGGTACTTCAACAGAGATGTCCAGTGTATCCGAGACTTCTTCCAGCGTAGGTTTGGCTACGAGAGTGAGCTGTACCCAACATTCGATGACGTCAGGTCAGGAGAATATTTGAGTGCAATTTTAGACTAGAACTGGTCAAAACAACACAAGCACACACCAGTCACTGGCTCACCTTGTTAACAGACTCTACTTAATCTAAGTGCGTAAGTGATGTAACTAGACGTTGCCTTATTTGAGACTTTAAATGTGCCCTGCCTTATTCCAGACGTGAGTTTGACCTGGATGTGGAGGTTGCTGCGAGTGGTTTCACAAAAGAGATGCAGGAGTCCCTGGAACAGGTTGGTGATTATGTGTATGTCATAGCCATGAAGTAACTAACTAATAAGAATTACTGTCAGTTTAAATTGATATCTAACACCACCTTTTCACTAAATGCTGCGACCCCTGAAGAACCAAAGATTTTATATAACTTTTTTGTAATTTGTTGTCTTTTAAATCTTTATTAACTTTTGCAACGTACATGTGTACATCATATACTAATTATATGATAAAATTACAAATCCAGTTTTGGATCATTGTCAGTGATCAATTGGTACTACATAACAGTCGAGTGGAAAGGGGTCCTAATCTATTAATCATGTATTTCAGAAGTGTGATGCCAAAACTCCCATTACTCCAGAGTACTGTAATCTGCAAAAGTCTGAACTCCTTGCTTTGTCAGGAATCCTTAAATATGACATTTGTTAGCCTTTCTGGTACTAGTAACTTTTTTGTCTTTCAGCTGACTATGTGTTGCCATTGGCTGAATTAAATTATCACTTATTGTCTGTTTTATACACAGGGAATGGAGGAGGAGGCTTCCACCAGCAAACTGAAGAAGTTAGAAGCATCTCAACAGGATGACGAGGATGGAAGTAGTGATGAGGATGAGGAGGAAGATGAGGTGGAAGAAGAGGAAGAAAATATTGAAGGCAAAAGTGATCAGTCTTCCAGACCTCCCGAGTCGGGAGCAACAGCTGGTACAATGCTAGAATCTTCAACATTTTTACACAGTAATGCAGTGGACACTGAGAAATCTGCAGACAATGAAGACCAGAATGAGCAGGAAGATGTTGTGACTTGTGATAGAGTTACAGAACAAGAGAGAAAACAAACTGATGATGATGAGGAGGGCAGTTCAGAGGAGGACGACTTGAACTTGGAAGATTTAAGCATGGCGAATCGTAGCCAGCGCCCGTTTCGTGACTCCTCCAGCCAGAGCAAGCCGATGTCTCACAGGACCAGGAGTTCTCCCAGCGTGAGCAGCACCGTCTCCCAGGCAACCATGGACAAGGACTACGTCCGAGCCAAGGTGAAGCAGAGCCTGGCCAAGAAGAAGAAGGCGGTGCAAAAGAGAAGACTACTGAAGGGGGAGGCCGGCGCGGTTACCAGGACACGCAGGGAGAACAGGGACAACATCAAACAGAGCCTCTCTTCTGTCTGGTTCTAGCAGTGTTCAACTTCTAGCTAACCTGGAATTTTTTCAGCCATCTCAATTTTGTTTGAGATGACTAAATCATGTGAGCATCAAAAGCATGAGGATTCGAGCCAGAGGTGCAACAATTCTAGGGAGCATGCTCTCCTGAAAAATTTTGAAATCTTGAAATGTTGCTACTTTATAAAGGATGCAAAGCATGTGGGATGTTAATAAACATGAAGCACACATTTACATGGCTTGTACATTTTTTTGCCAAGATGTAAGATTCAGTATAGAATCATTCTAGAATCTGTAAGTCATCTTTGTGTTATCTACTAGTAATTTATAAGCTCCTGTTGTCCCAACATAGAAAAGAAACAACCATTACTATGCGGGGCATCAAACATTAACTACCTGACTGATACATGTAATGTTAACAGTGTAAAAGTTGACAAGAGTATATGAGTGATTCTGGCATAATTCTTGATGAGAGTAGAACCTATTACTGTTAAGGTTTGAACCTTCGTGCTTCTCGATCTAGAATCGTTCTTAGACAGGAAGGAGTTCTGACTATCAAGATCGACTACTTCCATGTCTCGAGTTTTCATTATTTTGTCAATAATGAAAATGAAATAAAAATTTTAAAACGCCAATATACTAACTTTCATGAAAGTTCATCTGTGTTGGTAGTTACATGTTTAAAGTTAAAACTTTTGATCCAACACAAAAATTCTCTCACCTAGAGCTTTCAACCAGTCACTCTGGTCTTCCTCAGTAGACTGACCCAGTGAAGCTTGTCACGTGGCTTCTTTGAAGTGTGACATCAACACTGGGTCAAAGGTATCTGGTAGACGATGTCGGCCCCCGTCGCGGTTCAATGTAGGGTGATGGGCCCTGATGTAAATGGCTTCCTTCACCCCTCTCAAGAAATAGTCTTGTTCAGTGTCTAAAATCCTTACAGTGTCAAGTGAGACATGGTGTCCGGGTGACTCTATGTGAATGTGTTGAGACACCTCTGAACTGGCAGAGCTAGGCTGTGTATGTTCCTGAAACCTGGCTTTTAGAGACCTCTCCGTTTCACCAATATAAGTTTCCTGGCAGGGCCCCCTGTTGTTCTTGCCCTGGCAGGGGATGTGGTAGATGACACCACACTTCTTCTCTTTGGGGGTTTTATCCTTGGGCGCAACAAGAATGTGTCTTAAAGTAGTGGTTGGTTTGAAACAAGATGCAATCCCGTGGGAAATGAAAATCCTCCTGAGAGCTTCAGACAAGTCCTTGATGTAAGGCAGGACCACCAACCCCTTGGACTTTGTTCCTGCTGAGGGTTTGGTGTTAGGAGGTTTTGGGCAGGTCGCTTTGTTGATGGCCCACTGGGGGTAGCCACAAGTTTTTAATGCCTGGGTCATGTGGGACTTCTCAGTCTCTAAATCCTGTGGATCTGACACTATGGTGTTGGCTCTGTGAAATAGAGTCCTAATCACCCCTAGTTTGTGGTCAAGTGGATGGTTAGAGTCAAAGTTTAGGTATTGATCCGTGTGTGTGGGTTTCCGGTAAATCCGTATCTGTAGTGACCCATCCTCCTGTATGAATGTAAGGGTGTCAAGAAAAGGTAAAGATCTGTTCTGTTCCTCCTCAGTAGTAAACTTAATATCAGGGTCTAAACTGTTCAGAAAGTCTGTAAATTCCTGTGCATGTACTTTCTTCAACTTCGTGTGAGTGTCATCACATAACGATAGCACCAAAGTGGGGGGTGGGGGGCAGTGTTAATAGCCAACTGTTCTAGATGTTCCATGTAAAGGTTACAGACAATGGGAGAAACTGGGGAGCCCATTGCTGCACCATGAATTTGCTGATAAAACACTTCATTGTGTACAAAGTACGTGCACTCCAAACAGATCTTTAAAAGGCTTACAACATGTTGGGGAGTGAGAGTTGTACGTTGTGCTAGTGTGGTGTCGTTCTGGAGTCTACTTGCTATAACATCCAAAGCCTTATCAATAGGAACTGAGGTAAACAGGGCTGTAACATCAAAGGATCTGAGTTCCTCGTCCTCTTCTACACGTTGGTCTTTTATGAGTTCCGTAAAATGTTGGGAGTTCACAATATGATGGGGGGACTTGCCAACCAAAGGAGAAAGTATGTCAGCCAAGAATTTTGCACTGGGGTAAGTAATGGAACCAATACTACTAACGATGGGTCTAAGTGGTACACCAGTCTTATGAATCTTTGGAAGTCCGTAGAATTTCGGTGGAGTGTCTGTTGTAGGGTAAAGTTTTCTATAGGTAACTCTATTAAAGCCCTGTTCCTTCTCAATTTGTTGTAAGACACTTACCAGCTGTTTCTTGTACTTAGGAGTCGGGTCTTTCTTTCCCAGTCGGAGATACGTGTTTTCGTCGTCGAGTAACCAGGAAACTTATATTGGTGAAACGGAGAGGTCTCTAAAAGCCAGGTTTCAGGAACATACACGGCCTAGTTCTGCCAGTTCAGAGGTGTCTCAACACATTCACATAGAGTCACCCGGACACCATGTCTCACTTGACACTGTAAGGATTTTAGACACTGAACAAGACTATTTCTTGAGAGGGGTGAAGGAAGCCATTTACATCAGGGCCCATCACCCTACATTGAACCACGACGGGGGCCGACATCGTCTACCAGATACCTTTGACCCAGTGTTGACGTCACACTTCAAAGAAGCCACGTGACAAGCTTCACTGGGTCAGTCTACTGAGGAAGACCAGAGTGACTGGTTGAAAGCTCTAGGTGAGAGAATTTTTGTGTTGGATCAAAAGTTTTAACTTTAAACAATATACTAACTTAGTAACATATATAAGTGAAGTTGTGCAGAATATGGATTATGGATAGCTAAGGACAATAGGTTTAACCAAAGTATACTTCTCCGCAGTCACCACTGGCCGCTAGCGCTTGCCTCTTAAAAGTGGCTCACGGCAATTTCTCGACAGATGGCGCTTTGATCACTTTTGATTACTAGTAACGTTACAATGTTGCATCATCCCGGATGCAGGTGCATTTCGCGAGGGTATGAAAAGGTTTATATGGGTAGCTATTTAACCAGCAATATCATATGAATTACAAGAATGGAAGCAGAGATACGATATTTATCAGTTCTTCATAGAACTGTTTATGTAATTGGTTAATTGTATGTTAACCGCTGCAACTTAAAATGTCGAGAATCGGAGACTCGAATTGATAGATGGCCATAAATTTCATGTAATCCTCCATACACCTCCTCACCACATGCGCATGAAGCCGTGCGCAGTGTGTACCACTGAGATAACATGGCGGACCAAGTTGCGGAGGGAGTCGCGAAAATGGACATCCAGAAAGACGCGAAAAAGGCACGGTGACCCGTCCTATCTCCTCCATTTTCAGCTTAATTCCAATCTAGGGAAGCGTCTATGATCGCCAGGGGCGCAGTATTGGGGCTTGCCAAGCGAATCGGTCGTGAGATACGCCGAAGTATGAGCGCTAGTTCGGTAGGCCGGACCACGTTTTACGTTGCATACCTATGGCTTTGGGTTTCTGTTCAGACCATGTGCGTTCTGCTATAATTATGTGTCCTCATAGATGTGTGGGTCCGATTTTAGTGGAAACCAGCTTCAAATGACTTAACGCAAGGGAGGCACAGCCTTGGTTGTTCTCCGCTTTTTGCACCGTCTGACTCCGAAAACAGTGCTGCATCGTTATCGATTTTTTGTGCTGCAGATGCCGTGATTTTTTTGTTGGGTTCGGGATGAAATATAATATTTTTATTTACCGATAATGATCGTCCAAATCTGTTACTCAAACCTATTAACTTATCACCACAGTATTTTCCGTGAGCTGTAGTCAGTCAGTTACATGTATGTTTTTGTACGTTTTAGATGACGTAGTTTGTTAGATCTAATGTCGTCTCGCGTGTGACACGTAGATAAACTTCGTCAGCTGTGTAGTATTTCATGGGTTACTTATTATTTTTCATGCCCCCCTCCCCCTTTTAAAGGAGGTCCCAGTATTGGGTTAACCTTTTTGTGCCGATGAACAGTGTTATGGATACTAGTGTTGAACGATGTAAGTCTGTACAATATCTCCTGTGCACATGTCAATTATGTTCTCTAGGGGTGGGCGTGAACAGGGTGGGGCAGGGGAGTTGAAGGGCATGTGTGTGT